ATTTCCCTGTGAGATGTACCCAAGTTGAAGCATGCATTCTGCTCGGTTGTGGTGGACATCCATCTGTGTGAACCCATCCAAGGCAACAGTCAGACAGCTGACTGCTGTATCCTGGTCACCTTCAGTGTGGAAAATATCCCCTAGGAATTGGAGCGCCTTGTGAAGATCTAGCTTCTGGTTTGACCTTGAGGCATGCACAAGATATACTATTGTCCAGGACTGATCTGTTGAGTCCCAGAGACTTCTGTCACCAAGTCTCTCCAGACAATAGCTTGTTATGTCAGCTTGACTTCTCCAACATAATGACAGACATCTGTGGAACAGTGACTCTGCAGACTGTAGATTTCCTTCTCTCAGATGGAGGGCTCCCATGGTAGCATCACACATCATTTCATAGACCAAATGGTTGACAGAGTTGAATATTGATTTTGCTGTATCAATCTGCTGTCGCACATCCTTTGTTGGTGCACCAAGCAGCATATCAAGTTCTGCTATATTGAGCAAAAAGAAGGCATGGTCCAGTGGGACAAGCTCAATAGGATGTCCATGAAGAATTTGCCTGTGGATATTTCGAGCCTCTGCATATTCCGACTTCAATTTGTGGGTTTCACCCTGTTGATTTATAAGATCGGAGTCTAAGACACCCCCAGACATCCCACAATGAGCTAGGAGATCTCTTGCCCTGTTGCAGAGGGAGGCTGCATATTTGTAGTTACCAAGTGCCTGGCAACATTTTGCCTCAATATCTAGGGCCTTTGCTTCATCATATAAATCCGCAGAAATCTTGGCTAGTCTCTCTGCCTCAGACACATACATTTGGCCTGCAGCTGGATCACCTATCTGGCACTTAAGTGATGCAAGATGTAATGATGATTCACACTGTCTTTTGGTGTTCCCAGTTGAAATGGCCAACGAGAGTCCAGTCTCAAAGTATTTTGTAGCTATAGGAATAGCATTATTGCGGCGTTGATAATAGAATCCTAAAATATTGTAGAATCTACCTGTTGAACCTGTTCAAATCATGAAGAAGAAATATTGCTTCAGTACTTACATTTGATGTCTGAGTCATCAAAGTGAGAAAATTGTTTCATTGCTTTGTCGGCCAGCACTTCTAAATTGGGAATTGGATAAAAACTCCAAGAACCGATGATCTCTGTGATCAAATAGACCTCCAGCTCACTAGGGAGATATTGAGTAGAACCAATCTGGTCCATCAAAGGAGTCCGGCCACGACCAGCAAGTCTACTGAAAGTATTGAGATATAGGATGGAATGGATTGTATCAACTGCTGTAGGATTCTGGTGCTGGCACCTGTTGAGAAGTAGGCCCTGGATATTTGAGAAATTTGAAGTGATTTGTAGAGTCATCTCAGAAGCTGAGACAGTCCCATGATATTTGTACTGAAATTCCAAAAGCTGATGAAAGTAATTGAGAAGAGCTTGAACAAGATAGGTCATGGGTGGGTGGGATTTTTTCATGTATTCCCGAATAGGTACCAAGACCTTGAACCGTCTCTGGTCATCACTATAGGCCAGTGAGGTGGAAAGTAGGGCTGCTTTGCAGCTCAGAATGTCTTTGATTGGAAGCTGACTTTGTACCAGCTCTACATCTGAAAGGCCATCAGGGAGCACTGAGAGAAGGCTCAATAGATCCTGGCAATGAGGCACACATGTGATCCTGGGGCTTGACAGAGACAGTGAAATGGATAGATCAAGATTTGACCGCTTGTCGTAGCCATCTGAGATCACAGAGGTTTTCTCTTCCTCCCAACGGGCAATCACATTGGGGCACCCCTCAGATTCAACCAAGTGGGCCATGAGATCAATTGCAAGTGGCATGTTGTCAGTCAGGAGGAGAACTTTGTCAATGTTGTCACTGCTGTGACAATCATCTGCAATGTCAATGAAAGTCTGTCGGGCAGCATCCTGTGTCAAGGGTTTCAACGCTGGAAGGAAAGGCCGAGTCCAGCGCACTGAGGCTGGTCTCTCTGTCCCTCGCATTGTGATCTAGTTTGGTGTCAGTTACAATACTAAGACAAAGATATCAGTACTCACAATCAATGCAAGGTGTTTTACCTCTGTAAGCAGAGACAAAAATTCTTCAATGTCTCGACAAATTTCCGTAGACTCCCAAAGTGTTTCCAGATTATCCAAGATCAAGAGACAGGCCGGATTGGTGGCAAAATGATGCAGAATCAATTTGGCCAGATCCTTCTTTGGCTTCAGTCCCAAATGGGCCCCAATCAGGATGACCAGTTCATCTTTACTCAATGTCGAGTCACAAGCAATGAAGAAACGATGCTGGCCATATTTCCCAGTGACTGTTGGATGATGCAAAACAGCTCTTGCGAGACTTGTCTTTCCCATTCCGCCTCCACCCAGAATTGCTATCCTAGGTGTCTCCTGCATGAATAGTTTGAGAATGTTGGAAAGTTCAGATTCTCGACCATGAAAGATTTTTGGTTCAGATGGCAGCATGGAAATTGAGGTTGAGCTTGATCAGAATACAATCAGCTTCCCTTTTATTAATTTTAGTTTGGATCATACCTGTTGTAAGAGCTAGAAAGGACCCTATGTGTCTGTACAAAAGTTAGTTCTCACTACACCCAGAATACAAGGTTCACCCACCAATGACCCCTTGTCCGAAGAGGTCCCATCAGACAAGGCATCAATCAAAGCCAGAACTTCTTGGTGTTTCTCTTGTGCAAATTTCTTCATATCCCTGATGTCATTTAGGACATTCATATTATGAACCTGTGTTATTTTGGTTGTTTCAGTACTGGCATGGACCATACACCAAATCACTTCACTTTGAAAAGATCTAGTGCTTCCTGCAAACCCATTTTACAAGCCTTGAGTAGTTTGCTCATTTCTCCCTGATGGAAAAAGTGCCGGATCTTGCTTTTCTCCTGTTGGGCCTCCACAAATGTATGGATCTTGTAGAGTGTGCTGCCGGCATATAATTAACAATAATAGGATAATTTTGCACAGAAACACTACTCTGTGAATTTTCCCAGATTATTCAGCATGCTTGGTGACAAATCGGGAGCAGTGTCCGGCTTCATATGGATAGCAACGATTGCATAGAGCAACCCATAGATTTGCTCCAGCAATTGGGTACAATCACTCTTGTTTTGCTTGACAGTCTGGCAAAAGTGAGATAAATTTTATGATCTTTCCTGGAAGTGTACCTGCACGGCAGTCAGCAGAGACTTGGCAGTGTTGGAGATAGGTCCCAAGAAAGGAGTCTTGAATGTACTAGCAAGGACCTCCAAGGTATCCACTGCTATAGTGAACCATTTGAGAATGTTGTTTAATCGAATTTCGGTCGCAATGGGCTGAGAAGGCATTTGGTCTGATGGGCAAGGATGTGCACTGTGCTGGTGACACCGTCCTCTTTATCCTCGATGTGTGAACCTTCATCTCATCATATCATCACCCTCTTTTTAAAATTACGTGTGTCCGTCCGTCTGAAGCTTTTTAAACTCCGACGATCACTTGACCCCGAGATTTCACCGAGACCGGCCCTAAAGTCAACTCTGGGGTTAAGGGCAACCTTATTTATTCTGCGAACAGATTCATTATACTGGGAACCTATTCTGCATACACAAAATTCTGTATATTCAGCAAAGATCCAAAGTCCTGCATTCATTGTCCAGCCGAAGTGGTGGGGCGCAGAGCGCCCCACCGCGCTCTTGTTATCATTCTGATTCTGCACTGATAATTGGAGCCGATGCATAGGCATCTCTGTTCATCAATCATGTAACCGGTAGAAGATCTTTATCCTCGGTGTATGTGGGAAGTTGAACATTCATTGGCTCATCCTAATTTTGCACTGATGACGGCAATACATATCATCTCTGGTCATTGATCATGTAACCATGAGTGCACTACACATCTTGAAGATGTCACATGTAGCCTCATAGAAGGCATACTTGGGCTATAGATACTTTGTTCATCTGCAGCAGAGCGATGTCAGGCCACTTGAAGAAGGAAGATCATCCCGTTCGCAAGCTGTGGGCTTGGGAAAAACACAATTGAATAGTGATGGTAACAGCCTTTCTAGACATATACACAGCAATTCAGAGAGAATTTTTGCACACCAAATCAAATAAAAATAGAGGAGCCTGTGATTTCTTTGTTAAAGTTGTTCACGACCCGAACATTCATCGATACTGACGATATTTGAGGATCCTGCGGGCAGATAAAGGGGGTGATTCTTCCACTTAATTGGATGCATGAGATCAAACACAATTACTGCGCTCTAATCGTCGAAGAGCACATGAATCGAACATGTCGCAAGAAGTTGAAAGTATATTGCCGTGTTTGTATCGGGAGGGATCGGACCGGTGCAGCATCGTCGGCTGATTCGGGGGCCAGGAGAAAATGCCGCGGCTGTCGCGCACTGCCGCAGCACTGCTGCGGCAATCCCTATGCCCGACTAAGCCCGACTAACCCACTTGGGAATATCTAAAACCTGAGTTCTACGACGAAATTGAGTGTCTCCCATGGGACTACAGAGTTGGACACCTTGAATCTAATGCCTTGAGCAGGAAATTTGATTGAACTCAATGTACAAGTCAACTTTGAGGGTAGTTTTGCGGGCTCTTCCTTAGAAAATACCAAAGCCGTGATAAATTATGGTTCAAATCATGTTTTGAGCTTGTCCTTGAAGCATTTGACCCGATTTCATGCCGTGACAGGTCCGCGTCACTTGCGCGGCAGCGCCGCGTCAGTGCGCGTCAGTGCCGCGTCAATGCGATTATTCAGATGCTCAAACGGCTCAGAGCTCATAAAACTCCTTGGGTGTACTGAGAAGCAACTCAGACATGGTATATTGGAACATAGCTTCTAATTTTCATTTGTCGTAAGTGGTTATTTACAGAGGCAGTCCAGGGTTCGAGTCCCTGTGTCTGAATTATACTTTTCCTCCTCTTTTCTTTTTTCTTGCATTCTCCTTAAACATGTCGACAAAACTACCTGGCTGTTCTAGCAAGGAACCCAGACATGGTGCAGTGGGAACACATTCTCTTCTTCTAATTAAAATTTGCCGACTATATAGGCAGTCCAGGGTTCGAACCTCTGTGTCTGAATCCCTGGCTGTAAAAGCACTTTTTTCTTCTGTCACGTATTTTCCATCCCTTTCAAACGCGACGGTATTACCCCCCCTCGAACAAAGACTGTGTACATTCAACCCATTTTTTGGGGGAAAAACTAATAACAGCACGATGCGCTTGGACCTCGTGACGCACCCTCCGCACCTTCCTCCGCCGCCAGCTCGCCGCGCCCGCACCTCTGCCTACCCACCTACATCGTACTTAAGCACCACAAAATGCCACCCAACCCGCCCCACACCCACACATCCCCGAACTACCAACAACCGTTCCTTCGTGCTCATCGCGGCGAGGCGCATGGATTCGGAGCGCGAGCGCGGGGGATGTGGATTAAGTTTGCGAGCGCGTGCTGGAATCTGGATGCGCGCCAATTTGAGAAGGTCACCGATACAGATTACCCGCAACTGACTCGATGACGACGACGAGCTCGACGCCATCGTAGATTGGGCTCCTCGCAAAGCACACCTCACGACCTGGCCTCGGCACTGATACCCGCCAAATTTGTTTCCGGATCCGGCTGCGCCGCGCCGCCAATCGGGAACTCCTCTCATCACACTTGAATCTCAGGTTAATAAAACTGCTCAGATGTAGAGGAGAGGAAATCAGACATGGTGTAGTGGAAACACAGCCTCTATTCTTCACGAAAAAAAATGACATAAGAGGTAGCCAGGGCTTTAATCCCTGTGTCTGAATGTGCCGTTGACCCCTACCTTTTTCATTGTAACAAAACTGCCCGGATGTACTGGAAATGGATCGGACAAGGTGTAGCTGGAACACAACCTCTTCTCATAAAATACGGGTGCATTATTTCAGAGGTAGTCCAGGGTTCGACTTCGACTCCCTGTGTCTGAATTCCTGTGTATGATACATTTTTCTTTTTCCATTTCCGCATTCTTGCAAAAAAAATGCATTCCTCTTTGAACAACCTAATAAAGCTGCCTGGATATAAAGGATAGGAACTCAGACATGGTGTAGCGGGAACATGATTTCTTCTTGTCAGTCAGAATTCTATCATCAGAGGTAATCCGGGGTTCGAATCCTTGTGCCCCTTTTTTTTTGGTGATCTCTCGCTAAATTTTATTATGTACATGTTCGATTCCACTCCTAAACGCAGGACTCAATGGACCTGAAGTTGAATCTTAGTTTTGAACCGGTTCTCCCGCAGGAGACTTTCAACGCGGCAGGCAGGGTCTAAGGTAGAAAAAAAAACCCCCCATCTGTACGCTGCAGATGGTGTCCATGAATGTCAGATTCCGGGCGTGGTTGAACATCGATCACGTGCATGGTTGAACTTGGCGAAATAATCAAGTCCAAACTTGAACATTGGGCTCTGACGCAAAGCACGCGGTTTTCCGAAAACTTGGGAGCTGAGCTCTCCGGCCGCCAAAAAAATCCATTAATTCATTCGCACGAGCTGCATCAGATACTAAACTGGAGCGTGAGGTTGGTGAGGTATACCATGGCGCCAGCGCGGCCGTCCAAGAACGTCATCATGTTCGGCATCGTCGTCGTGCTATACTCCGGCCAGTTGGGGACGTTCCTCCCGCTCGGGTCGAATTCGTCGCGAAATTAATCAGGTAGTCTGAGCTCGCCGTCGTAGTAGATGTTCAGTTTGTCGGACGCGTGGAACTATTCCACGATATAAGTTCTCAGCGCAATGCGAGAGTGAAGAGCTAACTCACAGAGCCGAGGAAGGGAAAATCCTTGAGGCGTTTGCTCACTGCGTGGGTGTTGGACACTCATTTTGAAATGAACCAACCAACTTACGGGCCTACTCATACACAACTTAATCTCAGTGTTCTGGTTTCCAGGGAAAGAGGAATCACCTGGGACGGCCGAGATGCGCTTGAACTGAGGACTCAGCGCATTGAACGCCCCCGTGTCGAATGGAGAGCCCTTGGTGATATCGTTCGGATAGAACGCGGCCAAGGTCTGTACCTGCGCCGTGCTAGCCTGCGACAGCCAAAACATATTCGTGGAATTCCGCGTCCATACTGAGCTGGTCATTGCATAAACAGATATAGCGGGCAGCCAGAAATAAAAACAATAGCACAGGACGAGTATAGTCATAGAGAATTTGTCTTTAGACGAATATATGCTCCGTCTGGTTCAAACAGAAAAATGAGCATGTACGTCGCAAGGTATCGGCTGGACATATGGGGTGGCGTCTTTACGACCGAGTCCATGTCGACTTCATAGCCTGCAGTTTAGAAAAAAGTTCCTAAACGCGGCTGAGCAATGGATTGGCGCCGCGGTTGGAATAACCGCCGGGCAATCTCCGAACTCCTGTGCGGAGTATCAGATTCGCGGATGCCAAAAAAATGAATGCGGACTATCCGAAATAAAAGAGTTCCCTTGACTTGGGAGACTAACTTTCCAGCCTCGTCCTGTATTCATGTCATGTTCTTGAACTCCTTTGAGGGGACATATCCGAATGCTGTCGGATCACGATGACGCCCACCCTCCCAATGTTCTGTTATTTCCGAATGGACATTTGCGAGGTTCCCATGCATCGGAGATACCTCGCCGCGGCCGAGGTAAATGCCAGCCATGAATGGAATGTGATCCTGCGTCAAGTGACGTGCAGAAAACGATCAGCTGGGCGTGTAATCTGAGTTCGAGTTCTGCACTGCACGCGAGATTTTACGGAGTGAAGTCCCTCGAGTCTGGTTGTAAGATGTCTGAGAGGGAAAGAGGAGAGGCCACTCTCAAATTCTATGAGTTCTATGAGCGCCGGACTTTCAGCAGAGGATCCACCCGCTTTCGTCTGGGGTCGCCCCATGCGAGAATGTGAAGTAACAGCCCTGAATAGAGATCGCAGACAGCAGAGAGGGAATCTGGGTCCACAATCTCCAGTGCGTTTAGATTAAGGACGGCTAGGTCGCAAGTTCCTGACATAGCTACTAACCGTGTATTGATATCAGGGCATAATTAGAGGTATCTCACCTTATCTGTGTGCCCTGAGCCTGTGCTGGCCGTTTCCCCAGTTCATGTAGACGTTGAATACCGGTCCCAGCAGAAAGAAAGTGAGCCCAGAAGTCTACCAAATCCCATAGACTCTCAAAAACTTTGTGGACTTTGTAGACTTACGGCTCCTCTCGGTAGACCAGGGGTAATATATTTATGATTCGCACTGCGCTCGGATCAACTCCCCGGCATTCGGTCTGCACTTGGAGCTCCCTTGATGCCGAGGCTCACCCCACCTGCCTTCAGTGTCCTTAATTGAGTACTGAGATGCAGCAAGCTGTTAGCGACACTTATCCGGCGCTGTCGAGGCGCACGCCAACTCCGGATATCCGCCGTGTCGTCCTGCCAAAAGAGGTTAGAGTTAGGTGAGGATCTATAGAAAGTGAGAACGAGGCTTTAAAGTGCCGACCTGAGATGCCCCGGCTCGGGGGACCCCCTGAGCGCAGCGAGGGAGGGGAGGGGTATCAACTGGTCGGTCCCCTTCGCGCACATGAAGGAAATAGCAGTGCCTGCCGAGGGTGCCGCAGATTGATCCGAGGCCGGCACTGTATGGTGCGCTTACCTTAGACACCACCAATTTGAAACAACCGTAACTAGGAGGTCAGAAAAAATCTGTTTTTTAATTCCTCTTGGGAAAACACTCTGTTCATCAGGGGGGAACTTTTGGCAAGACAGATTTTTATTAGTGGCAAAATTGAGAGAGTTATAAACTCCCGGACCAGCCAAATTGGGACTGTCTACCAAAACGGACGCCTACTGGTCAAAATCCTTTGCGACACGCTTCAGAACACGTCTATGGGATTTAAACTGCCGGTAACCAACGTTCAGGACATGCAATTGAGTATCTTGAGTCCTTATGCTGGGGCGGGAAGCATCCACCCATCAATGCATCTCACAAGTATTTCGGTTTGGGAGGACTTTCACAGTGTGGCAGAGCTCAGAAGTTGGAGTTTAGGCCTTTTACAGAAGTAGGGGTAGGTAGGATAGGTAGGAGGCAAAAAAGGTCATTCCAGCCAGCCACAGGGGTACACACCAAAAAAAAGTTACACGGTAGACTTCTGAATTCACGGTCCTTCTCGGTCCCGGAGGTGCGGAAAAGGTGAAAAAAAGAACGGAACGACAGCGAGACGAGGTACCTAGGGGACCATCAACATCCATTGTAGGATGGGTAGTGGAGGGGGAGGTAGTAAGGGAAACTACATAGCGGGAGGGAGAAATACCTCCGGGGGGTGACTGAAGATTTCGCACGCCGGACGACAGGTAGAAGCAAGCATTTGGCGTAGAGTTACGACAGAGATAGAACCAGTCGCAGCCCAGGACCAGATCAAGGGAAAGGGAAGCAGATACAACTAGCTGCACATCCAGAGAACAAATGGCATCGGTGGAGGCAGGGTATCGAAGGCACAGAACGGATACAACAGAATTGATAGCAGGCAGCCCAGAAGTCGGAACCTAGTCAATGGACAAGTAGAAAGCGCCGAGAGATTGCACGAAGTTGTGGAGGGAGGCAAGTTGGAGGCAAGAGGAGCGAAAAAGTTCTCGATTCCACGTCGACATCGGACGGAGTGACACACTTTCAATGACTCAGAGTGCGCGGGGCTCGGAGAACCAATGGAGAACGCAGAATGCAGGGCTCAATTTTGACAGGGCAAAGAAGCTTACGCGAAAAGAGCTGACAAAATGATCGCCTGCAAGTCCCGAGAATGAGTTATAAGACCCAGGTACCTGTACCTAAAGGTAGCGGGAATTGGATTCCGCACCTTTTCCTTTTCGCACACTCGCACCTCTCTTGCTCCATACGCTTACTTACTAGGCCATGGCTGAATCTCCCTTCAAAATTTCGATTCCATACGCCAGCATCGATCGACTCCATCAGAAGCTCAAGCTCAGCACTCTCCCCGACGAGCTTGACGGCGCGGGACGGGACTATGGCGTGCCACTAGCGGATGTTAAGCGGCTCGTTGCACGATGGCGTGATGGATACGACTGGCGGCACCATGAGGCAGAACTCAACGCTGCGCTGCCACAATTCACACGCACCATTTCTGTCGAGGGCCACGGTGTGCTCACAATTCACTATGTACATCAGCGAAGTGAAATCCCCGGCGCCATTCCGCTGCTCTTTGTCCACGGTTGTGCGTATAGCTTTGCCTTTGCGGGCAGTGTAATAACGTGAAGCATCGCATAGGGCCGGGAAGCTTCCTTGAGGCGCGCAAGATTGTCTCGTTGTTGTCCGCCAAATCGGCAGACCATCCAAGCTTCCATGTCGTGGTCCTAGGCCTTCCTGGGTACGGCTTCTCCGAGGGTCCTTCGACAAAGGGGTTTGATCTTCCTCAGTATGCAGAAGTACGTAGTTCTGGTTCCTTGTTCAATGCTTGCATTACTTATCGGACCCACAGGTCGGAAATAAACTGATGCTGGCACTCGGATACAATGAGTATACCACGCAAGGAGGGGATTGGGGCTTCCCAGTATGTGGTTTGTTTGGAACATACGCAAGCAGTGCTACAGCTTATAATATCAGATTACCCGAACGATTGCCCTAGTGTACGGCGAGAAGCATAGCAAAGCATGGCACACGAATATGGTCATGTACGTTCCGGAAGCACCTCCATATTCGTTACATCTCACAGTCAAGTTTAGAGGAGCTCCTCCTGCTGACCATTCGGAGTCAAATGCGGAGCTAACACCCGAAGAGCAAGCCGCGCTTGCCCGAAACCAATTGTTCCGCAGCAGGGGCAGCGGGTACTCCGGGCAGCAGTCAACTCAACCGCAAACGCTGGGATATGCCCTGGCCGATTCACCTGTGGGTCTTCTCGCCTGGATATATGAGAAGCTGGTGGGTTGGACGGATAATTATCAATGGGATGACGACGAAGGTATTGCAATGAAATCTGCATGCTTCCATATATTCTCACTCCTGTTCGCTCACAGTTTTGACCTGGGTATCCATCTTCTGGTTTTCTCGAGCCGGCCCAGCGGCATCGATCCGTATCTACTTTGAAGTTGGGAGTAAGGCATTGTCTACTAGCCCGAAGCCGACGATCCCGCTCGGCTTGTCGCATTTTCCTCGAGATGTTTTAGTGTTCCCCAGAAGGCATGTTCATCTCAATCCCTGGCGGTCGTCTACTCACGTTCCCACAGCTGGACACGGGGATTGGGCAATATTGTATTCGAGGGAGAACATGAAAGCGGTGGGCACTTTGCTGCCTACGAGAAGCCCAATGAGCTCGTGGATGATTTGAGGAAGATGTTTGGAAAGGACGGCCCTGCATTCGGGGTTGTTCCCGGACAATCAGGATATTAGTGGGGGAGCTTCGGGTTGGGCCTGACGTGCCCAAAGGTCGGAATATCTCGTTCTGCGTATATTGAGCCCTCCGAAATTATATGTAGCCCACCTCAAATAAATGACCATGATTAAGAATGCAGGGAGTAGCATCACCAAAATTCGATAGCACTTTTTCTTGACCACAATTCCAGTGCTTCGTACCCGTCCCTTTCTCTTCATTGTCCCTGCGCACTCTCCCTCGCCCTCTTCCTCCTCTTACCACACACATCCCCCATGCCCATCCCGCCCCTTTCGTTTTCGTCGAGTCCTCGCGTCCGTTTCATCCCCCTTCTCTTTATCGTCGTCTGCATGCCCTGCGGCCGTCCCTCCGCTCCCCGGCCCGAGTCCTCGTCCGAGGCGCTGCCTTGCTACCGTCAGCATCGCATCGACGTGACGCCCCCGTCCCGGAAATTGAAGTCCACGTGATGCTGGCGCGCCTTCGTTTAGAGCCAAATAACGCCAGATCAAGGTCAGGAAAGTTGGCGGATACAGCGAGGTCGCTAGTCCCAGTCAGCTTGAGCGAGGGATTTGATGCATGTATACGAAAATGCCATATGTAGAACCAGCGAGTTTTTCCTCTCATTTTGCTTTAATTCCTTCACCGTCGTGTGCGGAACGTTTTCGAGCATCCCCCTATCGAACGCGGCCGTATCAACCTCACATCTCAAAGAAGAAACATAGAACCCGTTAGCACTGAGTCTAGCTTACAAAGACTTTGTAATAGATCGACCACCCATCTCCTTCTCCTTCAACCCAGTAAAACCAACCCACGCAATGAAGTAGATACTCAGACATGGTCTAGTGTCAATGGGAACATACTTGCTATCACTCAGTCCTCTATTATCAGAGGCAATCCAGGGTTCGAACCCCTGTGTCTGAATAAGGTCTTCGCATGTTTTTTTTTACATCCTCCCTTGAACATCCTAATAAAACCTTCCATGGAATCAGGGCAGGATATCAGACATGGTATAGTGGGAACACAACCTCTTATCGTAGGGATTTTCGCCTTTACGGAGGCAATCCAGGGCTTGAATCCCTGTGCTGAATGTCATATATGAGCTCATTTTTTTTTTCACTCTCTTCACCCGTTCCCCCTCATAAAACTCCAGTCCGGCTCGCTTCAAATGCTCTCAACTGCGTCGGTGTCGGTATGTCCAGCTCGATGAAGTCATTACGATCAAGTACATACGTGATATTTAATCCTTCGGTCCATTCCTCACACCACCACTTTTCGATCGAAGACAGTACCAGCACGTCCTAATACTTGAAGATAGAAGCCCTCCGTCGCTCTATTACTTCATTGTTCTTTTGAGCGATCGACTGCGAGGCTTGAACCATGTTTGAACTACTGTACTCGGATGGCTGACTTTCAACGTTTCAACACGAAATCAGAGCCTTGTTCCGCTCGTTATTCTTCCTTATTTATTCTCTTTCAATCAACAGGCGAGTCAAAGGAAAGGTTGAACAAAAAAAGGGGAGTCGAACTTGGAGGTTGAACATAGATCACGTGCTTGGTTGAAACTCACTCCGACGCGTACCCTGCCTGCTCCCGGACAGGCGCCGCAGCGAGAGGTATTTCAAGTGCGTTTAAATCCACACACTCATGAATTATTTCTGTAAGCACAGTACTCACCCGCGAAGAAGAACAGAGGAAGAACACATGTACGTACCATTCCCAATCTATCTTGATTCCTAGCGCCGAAACGGAAACAGGACAGTTTCAGAACGTGCTAATATTCTCACGGGCGACCCGTCGTCCCTCAATTTCATCCGGGGCAAACGGCCAAAAAATAAACTTGAACCGAACTACAGTTACGGGTGATTTCCACTGCTTCTCTGCTCGTTCCTCTGCTCGCTTCTCCTCTCGTTTCTCCAATTTATTCCCCGACCCGACCCTTGCAGCCCAGTTCCCAAGCAAAAGGCTCGTCGAACTTGGACTCAACGAGAGGTTGAACATGGACCACCTGCCTGGTTCAAATTCACTCCAACCGCACCTGGCCTGCCCCACCTTTAAGCTCCAAGCCAAACATACCTCTTCGCGGCTCCGAGTCGAAGAATGAACACCCAGCCGCACCCCGAGTCTACATTCAAACACCGGCCAGCTAATACTCAAACGGACTCATAAAACTCTCCAGATGTATTGAGAAGCAACTCAGACATGGTGTAGTTGAAATACGGCCTTTTATCATTCACCTACTGTGAAGTGTTTACCGAAGCATTCCAGAGCTCGAATGCCTGTGTCTAAATTCCGGTTAAATGCGAGCTTTTTTCTCTTCTATTCCATTTTCTCACCCCTCAACTGTCCTCCATTCGAACTTCCCAACCATCCACATCCATCTCAATAAGAAAAGGACGGACCAGGCTCTACATTCAAACACCACCCTGCCAATACTTAACCAGCTGATAAACTCAACCCAAGTCCCCGTGGAGGAAATCAGATATGGTGTAGTGGGAACACGGTCTCTAAATGTAAAGCCACCTCCGATGTCAAGAGGCAGTCCAGGGTTCGAATCCCTGTATCTGAATTCCGGATTACCAAATTGCTTTTTTTCTTCCTCTTTTGTCATCTTCCATTCTTATCGAACGCGGCGGTACTACACCACAAGGAACCCCCCTCACTCTGTGCACATTCAACCAATATCCATTTTTTTGGAAAAAAAAACTAATAACAGCCCTACATACTAAATACTTACACTGTTCGCCCCCAGTTCGCATCTCCGCTCCCGCCTTGCCCGCACCTCACCTCTCCCTACCTACCTACCTACCTACCTCGCACCTACCGCACAACACCACCCAACCCAACCCAACCCACATATCCCGCGGGACCATAACTATTAAACGCTCGTTCGTTCGACCGTGCTCGTTCTCGTTGGCCATGGACAGGATGCGCGGAGGCGTCGATTGAGAACGTCTGGGACGTGCATTTGCAAGCGCGGGCGGAGCTGCGAGTGCGGGGAGTCGAGCCTTAAATTTGCGACCGCGCGGACTCGGACCTGCACCTACAAGCGCGCGAACGTGGACTTGGATTCGAGATTCGGATTTGCGCGCGCAGGGCATTTGCGAGATGCGGTGGATTTGCGAGCGCGGGGCAAGGGGCTTCGGAGTTGCACCTGCAAGCGACGTGGGGAGTCGAGCAAGCCTTGGATTCGAGATTCGAGATGTCTGTCGGTTGTGAGCCCGTGTTATATACTGAGCCGAGAGGGGGAAGAGAAGTCCCGTGGAAGTCCGGAACCGGAAAACGTCCGGAAGCCGGAGCAGGACTGGAGGTGAAATAGTCGGCTATTCTCGCAAGCACCACAACTCAGCAGGGTGTGCGACTGTCTGGGTGTCGAGCCAGGACGAAAATCAGGACAAAACGGAAACGCTCCGCAACATGGGGTTCTAGCCCGATTGGGACTACTCCGGAAGGCCGGACCGGAAGGCCTGGACCGGAGGTAAACCGGAGTGGCATAGAAGCTGTGGGAACGAGGACGTGGGTCGGAGTGGTGTGGAAACCGGAAAGACCGGAAATGGACCGGAAATAAAGTCGAAGTGCGAAAAGGACATCCAGAGGCTTAAGGGTAGCCTCGGAGTCGAGTTGAAGACAAGGATTGAAAGAATAGACTCAGTCCATGAAGGGAAACATGGAACAACATTAATTTTCCAGATGAAGTACTGGACGTGGCTAAGACAGATATATACTAAAGTCTGTAATTGTAGTCCTAAATGTGGATAAGTAATGTGACCAGTGCGTAAAACAATAAGCCACTATCCAAATGGGGACAGAGAAGTAAAGCAATGTTAAAGACAATAAAGGAACCTCGGATAAACGGATAAACTGGAGAAACACTTAGTAAAGCGTCGTCACATAAATACCCGAAGTTCTGGAGTGTTCCGGTTGGTCCCGGATCGGTCCGAGGGTCCGGATCCGGAGTGTGACCGGAGCCGGAGTGCACAGATATAACAGCCCGTGGATTCGCATTTGCGAGCGCAGGCATTGGACATGCATTTGCGAGCACGGGGATTCGGGCTTGGGCTTGGATGCTGGCCTGGCAACGGTTGCAGCAGCTGAGATTAAATTTTGCCACGAAATCGTGCATCATCCAAATTAAATCTTCCCACATATTGCTACAGAGACCACCCGAGCCAAATAAGATTAATTTTACGACAAGATTAATTTAATGTGGCGGATAAGATTAATTTTACAAATAAGATTAATTTCACTGGCAAAGAGATGCCATCAAGAGGATTTGAACCCAAGACCCAAGTATATAAAGGCAAATACAGTAATGAACCACTTAACCATTACACTAAGCAAGACATGAGAAGTCAGATTCACATTTCCCACTATATTAAGCACCCTAGATAGGACAGAAGGAAATATCTATATTCAAGTCCATTTCATGTTGTGTAGAGTAGCACCTTACGTAGAAGAAAAGCTTTCCATGATTGATTAAATCAAGGCAGAAAAGCCTTCACCATATACGATGAAATGGACTCCTTTGGCATTGTCATATATGGTCTTACTGCTCTAGTGGTAGGCACTTGTTCCCCGTATTAGGATTGCGCAAGTGTGGCCAGACTGGCTCCCAGTTCAATCCTGCATCTCGGCGCTTTTTTGAGTTTTCCTAGATTTAATCTCAAAAATTAAATTTTCAAGCACTACAATTTCGTGTAAAAATTAAATTTTGATGATGCACAATTTCGTGGAGAAATTTAATCACATCTACTGATATCACTGAGCCTGGGACTTCGAGACGGGACGTGATGCGCGTGGATTCGGAGTTGCGAGCACGGGGATTCTTGAGAGCGAGCACGGGGCATGCGGATTCGAGAAGCGGTGGATTCGGACGGCGAGCGCGTCGATTTGGGACGTGGATTTGCGAGCGCGGGGTGAGCTTTGGACCCAGGATTATGGCGATAGCAGTATGAGGAGAGTGGAGCTGATGCGTGCGCATACTAGCACCAGCGGCGGAGCGCCGGGACCGGGTAGCGCGGCAGTAGCACGGTGCGCGCCTACGGAATGCGGAGGGGCCGCAAGCGACGGAGCGCAGAGGGAGGGCAGACGGCGGAGGGCGGATGGCGGACGGCGGAGACAGCGGACGGAGGGATGGGGGGACGACGATCAAGACAAAAGTGAGGAGGGGTGAGGATGAGCTATGTGTGCGGTATCAGCAGGCGGAGGAGGGCGAGGGCGAGGAAGGACGGGAAGGCGAGGGGAAACGGACGCGGACGGATGATGAGGATCGGAAAGAAAGAGGGGCGGGAGGAAGTGAAGCGGCGCGGTGTGAGAGGCGGGGAAGGGAACGCTGCGAGCGCGAGGAGGGACGGGCGCGCGGATACAAAAAGGGGACGTACGCGTGGATAGTAAGTGGACGCGGGGTGAGCGAGCGATGACGGGCAAGGACGCAGAGGCTGAGGACGGGGTGTGAGGTGCGCGGAGGAAGGAGGGAGGAAAGGCCATTAATGGAATGCGGGTGGATATGGGCGCGTGACGCGGAATGACGGGGACGTCGACGACGCGGGGTAGAGGCGATGGAGACGATGGCGGACATGGGCGGGGTGGGCGCGGGCCGGTGGAAAGAGGGAGGGGAAGGAAGGGACAACTGACGAGCAAGGACTCGGAGGTGATGCTTGTCGATGGTCTGGGCAAGGACGCGGCCACGACGCGATGAGCGGGACGTTAACTTAGACGGTGCAATTGCGGGCCGTTTGCGAGCGCGGCGATTTGAGAAGGACTGGGATTCGGATTCAAGTTTCCGAGCGCGGCGAGGTGAGAAGGGCTGTTGGGATTCAGATGAATTTGCGCACGCGGGGATTCGAGCGGCGAGCTTGCGAGCGCGGGATTCGAGCCTTGGATTCGATTCGAGATGCGGGCCGATTTTTGCGAGCGCGGGCGATGGACTCGAATGCCCGGGATTTGAACCTGCATTTATTGGCGAGCGCGTGCATTTGCGAGACGCAGAGATTCGAGACGTGGATTGCGAACACGGGGAGTGTGATTCTGATTTGCGATCGATCGTGGGCGCGAGTGAGGATTCGAGATGCGGGGGACGCGGAGCGCGGGCACAGGCATTCGAATTTGGAGTCGAAGCTGGGACGACAGGTGTCGATTTGGATTGGTGCCGATTTGCGAATGTGGAGAGTCGGATGCAGGGGCTGGGCCTGGAGGTGGAGGTGGCGGTGAGAGACAGCGCGCGGAGACGACGCGCGCGTCAGCGACGAGGGGCGCGGGGATGCGCCTGGGTGTGCGGGCGCGGGGCGCGGGATGTCGACTTGCATCTGCGTTTACGGGCGCGAGGATTCGCGACGGTCCCGGACTTCCCACTTGATTGTGACGATAGCAGGAATACAGAGACGGCGTGCGCGCACCAGCGGTCAGGCAAGTGGAGGCGAGGCGAGTTAGAAGACGTAGAAGGACGGGGACGGGTGTGCGGCGCGAGGAGGGGTAAGTATGGGAATGGATATGAGGAGGAAACGTGCGCATGGATAGTAAGTGGACGCGGGGCGAGGGAGCGATGACGGGTAAGACACAGGAGGGTGAGTGCCGGGTGTGAGATGCCCGGAGGAAGGAGGGAGAAAAGGCAATGTAGATATGGACGCGTGACGCGGGATGATGGGGACGACGTGGGGTACGATGGAGGCGGGCTCAGGGCCGGTGTGTCGATGGCTAAAGCCGCGACAAGCGGGACGTAGACGGTGAAATTGTAGGCCGTCCGGGCGAGACGAGAAGGGCGCGCTGAAAGAAAGTGCAGAACGCTGAAGGAAGGAGAGGACGAAAATGGATGAATGTGGAATGGTGAATGAAAGCCACGGAGAGGCGAGAATGAAGGAAGTGGATGGTTAAGGAGAGCCACGGGCACGCGGGAGGGCGCGATGGTCTGGACGATGGACTCGAAGGCGGACGACGCGGCCAGGGTGCAGCCGGGGTGGTCGGCGAGCTCGAAGGACGCGGAGCCGAAGGTCGACAGCATCGAGATGAGTAGGTGGTGGTGGAATCAGCGAGTTGGTGGAACGATGGTGACGTCATTGATGCGGCGACACACGACTGGCTCGACAGCGACGGTGAGCTCGACGCCGTCGTGAACTCCTCGCAAGCACACCTCGAGCTGGGCTTGGCACTGACACCAGCCTTATACGTACCCGCCGGATTTGCTTCCGGGTCCACACGCGCCACGCCGCCAAAACGGGAATGTTCAACCTTGGTTCAACCTCGGAGCCTGAGCTAATACAACCCAACACAATACGCCTTGGATGACTTTTTATTCTTATATTCCCTTCAATACCCTAATAAAAGTGGTCGCATGGAAAGGAAAGCCACTCAGACACGGTGTAGTGGCAACACGGCCTCTTCTCTTAATTATGTGGGGATTGATTCAGAGGCAGTCCAGGGTTCGAATCCCTGTGTCTGAATTATGCTTTTCCTCCCCTTTCTTTTTCTTACATCCTCCCTTGAACGAGCTCATAAACTTAGCGCGGGTGAGATAAATGAACTCAGACGTGGTATTTTTTCTTTCTTCCTCCATTCCTCTTGAACGACCTGATAAAACTATTACGATTGAAAAGAAATGAACACAGACGTGGTGTGATGGGAACATACCCTCCTTTCATGTTCAACGTGAGCCCAGTTTCAGAGGCAGTCCAGGGTTCAAATCATTGTGTCTGAATAAATGGTCGTATAATCCATTTTTATTGCACTTTCCCATAAACGAGCTAATAAAACTGCCTGGATGCAGAAGAAAGCAAGTCAGACATGATGTAATTGGAACGCGGCCTCTGCTCTTAAATTCCATATGTGGCTCTAGAACCAGACGCAGTCCAGGGTTCGAATCCCTGTGTCTGAGTGCATGATTATAATGGAACTTTTGTTCTTATCCGCTTTTGCTATGTGCTTTTCCTTTCTGCCCGCTTGAACAAGCCAATAAAACCTACCATGTAAGTAGGAAAGGAACTCAGACCTGGTGTAATGGCAACACAGCCTTGTCTTCTAAGTACTTGGTGTAGGAGTGTGGGAGGCAGTTCAGGGTTCGAATCCCTGCGTCTGAATGTCGCTTTCTTTTCTCTTTTTGATTCCCTCTCATCCCTTCCCCTCAGTAAACCCCAATCCAAGTCGATTCAAATCCTTATCGGTATATCCAACTCGATGGAGTTATTATTCAATCAAGTGCATGCGTGATATTCCATCCTTCGTTCCTCGCCGAAACGGAACCAGCTCTATCCAGGAGGACAGCAGGAGTACTCGAAAACAGACCCCGCTGTCATTCTAGATCTATTCCCTCATTATTTTTTCCGGGGTCGAAATTTGAACCACGGGTACAGTAGACTCTAAATTCCCCGCTCCTCTTCCCATATTTCTCTCCTCTGTCCTCACTCATCACCTCATCTCTTCAACCTCCCACCCTCGCACCCTAGCTCCTACACCAAAGGCAAGTCGAACTTGGACTCGATAGGAGCAGTTGAACGCAGATCACGTGCATGGTTGAAATTCACTCCGGCCGCGGGGAGTGGCTGCGCCCTGGCGAGCTGTATCCCAGGTGCACTTGAATTAAGGTTTCAACCCTTCCCCGTTCTTGACGGGTCGACGGGCGGGACAGACGGGTTTGGATCCGCCCGTCCTGAGCTCGACCCCCGGGCCTAGACGGGACGGGTGCGGGACGGGTTGGACGGGTCTACCCGGAATTGACGCAAATTTGGGCAATACCGCTCGAATCTAGTCAGATCTGGTTGAATCTGGGGTGAAATCTGTATCACCCATGAAAGCTCCACATGAACTCACCGCTTGGAGCGAAAGAGGGCATTAGGATTGATGCGATCAATGTCGCCCGCTTCGACCATCCAGACGATCTCGAACGCTATTCTTCGTCGAGCGGGGGGCACAAAAGTCACTAGAGGAGTAAAGAATTTGAGTTGAGTTTTTATTACCCTCACACCACTTTGTTTAATGACGCCAGTATGATGCCGCCAGAATGCCTCATCGAACCCGTCGAAACGTGCCGTCACGGGCGGGATCCGTCCCGTTTCCTCTGTTAAAATCACGGGTTGAGCCATCCCGTTTAAAAAGATGGCCGTCCCGTTTAACGGGTGGGTTGAAGCCCTAGCTTGAATGCACATCCCCTCCTCATCTATTGACATCACACGCTCACTTCCGCCGGGACACGATTAAAGTTCAACTGATGAGCAAGATTCGTGGCCCCAACCTGGACCCAGGCAATTGCCGCAGCGAGAACCAAGCTTGAGGGTTCTGTTTGGCTGAAGCATTAGATTAGATTAGCGTAGCGCACGCGAGGCGCAGGCATAATCGCACCTTGCGTTCCTGAGGTTTCTAGGTAGTAGTAGTTCTCAGCGTCCGGTCCCGATTTTCGGGACGGCCCCAACCCATGATATCATAAACCCACCGAGCTTATCGGTATTTCAGAGGGGGGCCAGAGGCAGCCGCGAATCAGTGATCAAGGGCTGCGGCTGGCTGCGGTAAGCTGCGGCCCTCTTTCCTGATTTCGGTAGACTGCCCACGAGCTCGCCAGTGTCCCAGTGGCTGCGATTAAGGCTAGTGCCCCGCCGAAGAGAAAATCATGGGCAGGCCAGCGGCTCGTTCAAGAACGACTCGAATCTGGAAGGTCGAAAGTCGATATTCAAATTTACATGCTCTATCGGATGTCTTGTACTTTGAAACTTTCCCGTATCTATCGGCCAGCGATGGGCCCTTACCGTAATAGTAGGGTGAGTATCGCATGGCTGCTTTGATACTGCGGCATTTTGGCCCTTTTAGAAGCTTGTTCCACTTGATTGCAAGGATGATGGGTTGTCGAATTCTCACATTTAGGCGCGCGTGCCGCTTAAAGGGCTGCCGCAGTTCCGATTGCGTTCCTTGTTTCTGACTCCACCAAGAACGATGAAGCTCATCTCCAGCGCCCTCTTCGCGCTGACTCTTTCCCTTGTCTCCGCCAATCCTGGGGGCGATGGTATCCGCCGAGGCGACGAACAGCCATTCGTTCACGTTCCTTTCGCCCATGTCGACGACTACACCTCCGGGAAGGTGCACATGATGATGATGGACCTCATGACGTCCGTCGTCGAGGACATGCGCGCGGACGTTGTGAGCGCGACCGGAATATTCGACCCGACGCTTGGAATCAAGCCTATCACGGAGTACACCCCTTGCATCGACGGCTTCGCCGGTACGGAGGCCAACAGCACGTACATGTGCAACAACCTCGATCTGTACTCCTTCACGCCGCACGCGGACATAGGGAGCACTGCGAAAGTCGGAAATGATATCTGGGGCTGGGCGCACACCAGCGATGGGGTGACGAGGGAATTCGGGCTGGTTGGCCAAATGGATGGGACTGCATTCGTGGAGGCGAGTCAAAATACCTTCAGTTCAATTACTCGGCGCTAAAGTGTGGCTAGGTTCTTGCCAGCGGGCAGATTGCGTATCTGGGTCGTTTGCCGACGCAGACTGTCGACAGCATCTGGAGGGACATAAAAGTCATCGGACACCATGCTTACATCGGAAGCGAGGCGCTGGGACACGGCATCCAAGTATTCGATTTACTGAAGGTGTGTTTGCGGTCCTTGAGCTACATTGGGCGAGATTACTGATAATTATTTTATTTAGCTCCTTGACAATGGCTTGATTGGGAGCCCGAAAGAATTTAGCATTGAAACGGACCTCACCTCGCATTATGACGGGCTTCCTGAAGGATCCAGCCACAACATCGTCTCTCATGCAGATAAAAATCTCATCGTCGCCGTCGGCGCAAACCCACGTCTTCAGTACGTCGTCAGCTGCATTCTGTCCGACCTATGAATAACACGCCTTCCTGCAGCGTCTGCGGTGCAGGGCTCATTTTCGTCGACGTAGCTGACCCCGCTAATCCCAAGACGGTTGGCTGTGCCGGCGAGGATGGATATGTGCACGAGTACGCATCCTCACGTGTTCAAATAATCCCTGTCCTCAATTTGTCTCCCCTAGCGCCCAATGTCTCACATACTACGGACCTGACGCCAAGTACAATGGCTCCGACGTGTGCTATTCATTCAACGAAGACACGTTCACCATTTACAACATTGACGATGTTAACGCTCCCACCATAATCTCTGCGACCTTCTACCACGGCGTGGCTTACTCCCACCAGGGATGGGTCATCGACGAGAAGGACCAGTCGTACCTCCTCATGAACGATGAGATGGACGAAATGTTCTCTCGAGGTTCGTTGGGCCGCAACATATTATATTAATACTCGAGCTGACTCGGACGCCGTTGCAGGCTGGGCAACCGACCAAAAGACCGTGACCTACATCTGGGACATCAAAGACCTCTCGCGGCCCGTCCTCACGGGTCGGTACAAGTCGCCCATCGTCGCAATCGACCACAATCTCTATGTGCATGTACGCTCATTCCAGTCCTTGTTTAATGCACCATTTCTCACTGACCCGCAGAACGGCCTGGTCTACGAGAGCAACTACAAGAGCGGGCTGCGCATCGTTGACGTTTCCAGCGTTGCTGACGACCCCACCGGTGCCGGCTTCTTTGAGGCTGCCTTCTTCGACGGTGCGCCTTTCCTTCTCGTACCCGACCCCTGCTCACATAATTCGCCTAGTTCACCCCGAGGACGACGCCGTCGGCGGCGAGCCTTCATTTGGCGGAGTGTGGTCGACGTACCCCTACTTCGAGAGTGGGTATATTCTCGTGAACACGCTGGAGCGGGGTTTGTTCGTTGGTATGCGTTTATATTCCCCCACCTTTTCCCGCGAGCTAACCCATTTGTATAGTCAAATATAATGAGACAGCTTGAAAATCCGAGACGAGTGGTTCCACGCATAAGAGATGGCGTATCAAACTCAACTCATGATCAATTTAACAACCCATTCGTTAACCCCTTTGTATTTGACCGTTACCGGTTTCATGGCTTCTGTGCAGGCTACGGCGAGGTCTCAGGCTCCTTGACGGATGATCGGATGAAAGGTAAAATCCGAATTTATGCGGTGGGATTCTCCAAACCCCCTAGCGCCATGGGGCCGGCACCTGCGCCCGGTCTCCCTGGCTTCGATGGCAATCGCGCTAAGGTCCCGTAGTATGGCAACAAGGACTGGACAGCTTGCAAAACGTAACTCGATAATGCAAAACGTCACTTGATATGTGATAGGCGGGTCGGCTAACATACTAGGACCCCAGAGACTTCATGGCTGATGTTGAGCCAGGGTTGACGGAATTTCGGCGGCTTTGAGTTCCGAAATCTGGCTATAAATAGATTAGCCTTTTATGGCAACTGATTATCTTATCACTTACCATAAAAGCCTAATCCCTTATCAACAGACGGTTCGTAGCTCAGCTCCAAGGCGCCGGAATTTCATCAGCCCCGGTACAGGAAAGAGAAAATTAGGTGTAAATATTATGAGGGATTTTCAGTTGGTTTCAAGTACCAGGCAATTAAACTAAGCAGTAAATAAGTTGAGGAAGGGGAACCCGACACATCCAGGTCCGCGGGGAGGCGAGCAAGCTGGTGCGGCCTGCGCTGAACGTGGCGAACCGCGGAGCCCCGTCCTCACGTGACCACCGAGTGTGACGAACGCGCAGATGCGGCAACGCAGCGACCGGACCGCGCGCAGGCAGTGGAGGCACGGGGGATGCGGTGACACAGGCGTTGTGTGGTGAGCGCGGGTCAACCTCGCCATAGTGAACTGGGGGCGCGTGGTTCCTCACGAAGTGTGAGGGTGATGGGCACACGAGTGCAGCAGAGCACGGTGGGAAGCCCGGGTGCATCGCGAGTGCTGGCGGCTGCGTCGAGTCTCGAGGATGGCATGCTCCGAGCATTCGTGGTGCGGGGATGCGAGGTGCTAGCTGGCGAGCTGGGGGAGAGATCCTGTTGCACGCTGTGCGCGGCACGAGTCCTCCGCGCGAGGACCACTTGTTGTAGTCAATCCGTAGTCTCTGAATAAATTGTGTTGGGGTTGGCCTGTGAGAAGGCATTTAGCACACATCAATGAATGCTCTGCAGGAGAACTCACCAGCGTGGATTAATGTGCAGCATTTCCGGGCTCAAGCC